AAAGTAGATGGATGACATTGAACATTTCCTTAGTAGAGGGATGGTAATGAACATTTTAACAAAGTACGAGAACTACAGTTTGCTTTAACCCTATTAACAAAATGTTTTTAATTGTGACGTATTAATATGTCGTCATTAAAATGTGATAAATGAATATATATTATGACGTATTGTTGTATGATCATTAAAATGTGATTAGTAAATTTAAATAAGTAAATAAATAAAATATTTTAAAAAAAAAATAAATAAATACTTAATTATAGAAATCATATCTTAAATAACTTGAAAATCTATCACATGTCATGTAGGTCTAGATGCTTGCAATTCACACTAGCATCTAAACCATAGAAAAAGTGAGTCCTTTTAAACACAAAGTTTGTCATGATTAGATTGATTATCTATCTCGTTAGCAAAGGTGCACTTGATACTAATGATTTGTTAATTTAAGTAAAAGTAATTAAATTTTATTTAAATAAAATATCAAATTTAAATTTTATGAATGAAGAAATATACGCTGAGAGAGTTTTCTCTCTTATGGGGTCTTACATGTCTTGATTTTGGATTGGTTGGGGCTAATAGAACTTTTAAATATTGGAGGGTTAGTATTAAAAAAAGGGTTCATTTGATTTTTCTTCGAATAATATAAAATAGGTTAAACTCTCAAATTCACCCCCTCAAATAAAAGGAGAGGGACATAGTCATCCCTAAAAAAAGCATAGACAAATTGGTGAGATTACCTTTTCAAATCGTTAACCAAGACAAATCACTTATTATTTAACGTGTAACGTCATTACATGTTAACTTTTTGTTAAAAATATGCATAAGTGTCAAATGAATTTATAAAATGCGATAATATCACATGCTCAATAATGAATTTGTCCTTATATTTTTTTAAAAGGTGAATTTATCGCTACACTCTTATTTGAGGGATAAATTTAGGAATTTAACCAATAAAATAACACTTACCATTTCTATTAAAATCAATCTTAGCCCTATTCTAACACTTATCTATTTCTATTGGTTAACAAAGGTCCACTTGATTACTTTCCTAACTTCTCATATAAATAAAATTGGCAACTAAATCTTAGCCTTATTCTAACCAAACGTGGCCCCATTACATCATTCAAAGAAAATTTTCCAACTTATTCACATTTTATATTTTTTTTGATAAAAAAAGAAATATATTACAATTTATTTTGAGGTTAATATGATTTATTTCTGTTGTTCTAAATGACGTATTAATATATCGTCATTAAAATATAATTAGTGAATATAAATTTTTCTTAACAAAATATATATTGTTATATTGTGATGTATTAATGAAATTTATTTAATTGTGATGTATTAATATATGGTCATTAAAA